AGCGAAGGCAATGCTTGGCGCTTGAAAAACTTTTCGTTAGATGACTACAAACACTGACGCGCGACGATATATTTCGCGGTAATATTACAGTCCCATTTGAGTCCATAATCCATAATAATGTAATGGAACGAAAAATGTTTTTTTTTCTAATCGGAGTCTAATTTTAGGGGGAGATTCGACGATTAATTCGATGGCGCATGTTTCGAGAAAGTGATTAGGACGTTAAAAGGAAAATTTTACTCGTCTAAACGATTAGTCGTCACGGCAGAAAGTGGCAAGTTTTTCGTCAGACTCGACTTTTTATCGTGTGTAAAGTGAATCTGCGTAGGAGATAAAATTACCCTCCATTGACTAATATACGCTGCTAAGAATATTTTGGTATTTAAATTTTTTTGTTTTTGTTTAACAGTCATTTTCATTTAAGTCCAATCGTAGTACTTAACCTAAAAGCGGCAATGTACTTTGGAAAAAGGCAAACGTCTTTATAATGTCAATTCGTGTAAAGAAATCTTTTTCTTTTTTTCTTTTTTTTTTTTTTTTGTCGCAATTAAGCGAATAAAGTAAATAATCGGTAGATAATGTAATGTGAATTTATCGAGCGATTTATACCAATTGCAAGCTTATTGTAAATAATACGAAATTTGCCTGAATTATATGGAGCCTCCGGATCGTTTCTAAGGGATTGAAATGCCAATGTCACGCACAATATTCACAAAAATATCAATAATTTATCATGTTATTGTCATGTTATTCCAATCATATTTAATAATGATATAAGTAAGCATTGATCTGAATTTGAAAATGTTAGATGTTTTAGTAATATTCACGATTCGTCCTTGTTACCTGCAACATATAAAATGTTTTTTACTACTCTAAGTGTTTTAAAATAAATATACAAAATATGAAATGTAAAATATTTTCATACTATGTTGATGCTATAAATGTAGAATACGTTTAAAATATTGCGCAAATAGTTATGATATTTTAAAGTTATTTAAGTACATCTGAATCGTCATATAATATTGATTAATTTGTCGTTAAACTTTTACGTCAGACTATTTTTCATCGTTACGAACATTATTCATAATCTCATTTCTTAGCATTGGAAAATCTACTCGACATTCTTATTTTCAACATACGTCGGCCCATTTGTTTATGCAATCTTTACATCGCTTTAATTATTGTATACTTCATATTCGATAATTTCTATAAATCTAAAGTCAAATTTCTTATTATTTTATTATTTAGATAACGGCAACTACCGCAATTCCTATGAAATGTAATTATCATCTATAAATGTACGGTATTTGTAAAATGTAGTAAGTATTTGAGTATATAATATATCGCAAGCAATTTCAGCAGAACAATACTATTACATTCAATGTAAACGAATGTCAATGCTTAAATAATAAATTCAAATGAAAGCGTAATTTTTTTAATAAATTTCGTTATAACGAGAGAAACAAAAACGTAAAACGTTTCTTCATTCGTAATTCTGAATTTGTAATTTGTAACATTTAATCAACATGTAATCCTTTTCAAATTCTTATTACAGTTCTGCTTCAATTATTATTATAAATAATAGCAATAAAAAATCGATCGATTGTAAGTACAAATTTACTGAAATTTTTAAGGCTTGTTCAATTAAAAAGAAAAAAAAACACATTAACCGATCTCCATTGTACTCTAAAGTAAAAATTTATTTTTATCTAACATCGTATAATCATTTAGTTTATTCGACAGTTTTCGCATTTAACGTTTCTAGTTAAGTCTCGTGTCCTTTTCTACATTAAATTATTCAAATTAATTTTACAACTAATTAAAATAAATTTCAATAAATTAAATTCTTATGAATTTTTAAAATCTAACTATTTATTATAAAATGCATTTCAAATTTATCATTTATTATCCAGTCTAATAAGAGAAACGACTATTACATTACTCAAATATAAACAACCATCTATTTTGCCCCCCCCCCTTTTTACATTTTTACATTGATTGTATACATTTCAATAATTTTCTAACAATATTTATCTAATAATGTTCCAAGATTATTCGATATTTTTATTTTATTAATACTGGCTTGAATTTTTATCAAATATAGGTCCTTTAATTTACAGTTCACGTGCAATGCAAAGCCAAATGTAATCTCTTCAGCTGCAATCTGAATCGCAAAATCATCTTGAATTGTCGTCTATCTGATCCGTACTACTGCCACTAATTATCGTATTTTCTCTCACTTTAGAACCATCTTGCGATAATCGCCAATTCTATCGCTCTTTTACAAACTCATCAATGGAAAGATGATGCTAATGATCTTAATAATTGCATGGAGCACACATTTTTACGTTTATTTTAAATTTGATGGATTTTGGCTGGGCTTTATCGCTGCAGTCGAGCCTAATCCTTCGGCTTCGCTGTTATTGCTAGTTTTTCATAATACAGGATTCCCTTACACTTCAATCTTGAAAGATTTCCTTCAAGGTGCTCGTACGGTGGT